CCCCCCCCCCCTCCCCCCGTTTTTTAGGTATTCTATTCTGGCAAATTGTTCTATATTGCCGGGTAATAATGTTACAGCTATAATGATTATTGTTGTATGTCCAATGAGTGATAACTATTAGAGGACATTTTCATGAAATTTTGAGTCTTTCTGATTGCTATTACCTGGTTAGTACAATAATGTATTACGGTTTTTAGGTACAGACTACACTGTCCAATTCAATCCGTTGGACGTGCACGGGGTGTCGAACGTCATGTCGACGTTGAACCGCGCATTTTAACACTTATTTGACCGACTCACGAGTGACATGGCACCTCACGATCAAGTTCGCTTGATCCTGAACTCAGATCAGCTGGACAAATCCATTTCCTTGCCTTTCCTACAACGCGATCGTCTAACCCCAGAACGTTTCCTGGCAGCTGTTGAACGTGTCGTACAGTCCAATGATCAATTTTCTTTGGATGACTCTGTCAGCGTCAACGTGGTCCATGTCGAAATGCCTCAGGGTGGTACCGGGCTTAAACGAGATGTTGTGCCCGCGCGATCGTAGTGGCCAAAGCAAAGCTGGACAAAGACCCACAGTACAAGAGTATCGTAACACCGCGTGGAACACTGCAAACTCGCCTAGCTCGAGAACTCCACGAGTCTGCAGGTGTTTCTCTTGGTCCTTGTGGCTTCCCAGAAATCAAACAGTTCCAAGCAGCTCTCCCTGGTTATCAACTGAACGTGATTTCCAAGGAATATTTGAATGCCCTCATCTACTCAGGTCCTGAAGCTGAAAAACACCTATATTTGTACCATCATGACAACCATTACGATGTCATCACCAGTATGCCTGCCTTCCTCGCCCGTAAAGAGTATTGCCATAAATGCAAGAAGGGATTCGACAAGATTACTGACCATCCCTGTGGCGATCTGTGCAAACTGTGTAATACCCAGAATTGTCCCATCGTTGAATGGAAATTTTGCAAAGCCTGTAACCGTTTCTTTAAAAGTAACGAATGCTTCAACCGCCATAAAGATGACGCCGGTCCTGCCAAATCCCTGTGTCGTGCTTTAATTAAATGCAAGAAATGTAAACGTGTTTTTACTCGTACCAGTCTTCGTGATCATCATTGTGGCAAAGTCAGATGTTCCACCTGTCAAAAATACGTCAATCCTGAAAACCACCAATGTTATCTTCAACCGGTAAAGGCGAAGAAGACACGATCCCCTGAAGAAGGAAACGATTTGCTCGATGATGATGTGGCCGTGGATAATGACGTAGAAGACACCAAAAACTTGATGTTTTTCGACTTTGAGTGCACGCAAGACGATGGTAAACACGTCCCCAATCTCTGCGTCGTCCAGAACGAAAGCGGTGACGAGAAAGTCTTTTCTGGGCCAAACACTAAAGACGAGTTTTGCGAGTGGATGTTTCAGCAGGAAAACGCGAATACGACGTTTGTCGCGCATAACTTCCAGGCCTACGACGGGTACTTCATCCTTCAATACCTTTACAAGAATGGTATCACTCCAGAAATCATTACCCGTGGCGAAAAAATCCTTTCGCTCGCTCTCCCCGAAATGAACATCAAGTTTATAGACTCTCTCTGTTTCATCCCAATGAAACTCGCCGCCTTCCCGAAAACGTTTGGTCTCACAGAGCTTCACAAAGGTTACTTCCCTCATTTCTTTAACCGTGCTGAGAACCAAGACTACGTGGGACCAATGCCCGAAGCCAAGTTCTACGATCCTGATGGCATGAGCACCGATGACCGCGAAAAGTTTTATACATGGTACAACGACCAAGTCCAGCGTCAGTACGAGTTCGACTTTCAAGCCGAAATTCTGCGATACTGTCGATCTGATGTGGACATTTTGCGTCGTTGTTGTCTCGAGTTCCGTGAAATTTTCCATCAAGTCACAGATGTTGACCCTTTCGCCTCTTGTCTCACCATTGCCTCTGCTTGTAATCTCGTCTTCCGTAAAACGTTCCTCCAGGAGAACACCATCGCCGTCATTCCTCCTTGCGGGTACAAGGCTGAAAACAAACAGTCTGTCACCGCCTTGAAGATGCTGGCATGGGTCGCTCAACGTGATAACATTGCAATTTGCAACGCCCGGAACCACGGAGAACAGCGCATTGACAAGTATCTTGTCGATGGTTTCAACGTTGAAACAAACACTGTTTGGGAAATTCAAGGATGCCTGTGGCATGGATGCGAAAGGTGTTATGCCAGAGATATCGTGAATCCCATCAACCATATGACCATGCAAGATCTTAAGCAGCGAACCCTAGAGAAAATCCAATTCCTAAAGGACAACGGATACAATGTCGTAGAGATTTGGACGTGTGATATTGAGCGTCAACTTGCCACCGAACCCGAGATGAAAGATTTCTTCGACAATTTCGAGATCTCTGAACCTCTGGAACCTCGTCATGCATTCTTTGGTGGAAGGACTAACGCAGCACGCCTATACTACGACGTCCAGCCAGAAGAGAAGATCCGTTATGTGGATTTCTGCAGCCTCTACCCATGGTATGTAACTTTTTAAAGTCTTTTAACTCAAACGTGCTTGTCGTTAACCTTCTTAAGCAATTTTTAGGTGTAACAATTACGGCGAATTTCCAATTGGCCATCCCGAGATTATTACTGAGAACTTTCAACCTATCAGTGACTACTTTGGTTTGGTGAAATGTTCTGTGCTTCCTCCTCGTACCCTATACCACCTCGTCCTCCCTTACCGTACTCAGGGTAAATTGATGTTCCCGTTGTGTCGTACCTGTGCCGACAACCTTCAACAAGAGCCCTGCCATCACAGCGACGCCGAGCGAACCCTTCATGGGACGTGGGTGACTTTGGAGCTCGAGAAAGCACTGGAGAAAGGCTACGAACTGGTGAGAGTCGACGAAGTTTGGCACTTCTCCGAGCACACGGATGGACTGTTTAAGGACTATATTGATACGTTCCTCAAAATCAAGCAAGAGGTAAGGTTTCATCACATGTGTGATATTGTTACATCACTAGCTTCTTATTACTCATTTCTCTTTTGCAGGCGAGTGGCTTTCCTCCGGAATATGACACCGACGAGAAGAAGGGGCAGTACATCGCTGACTACGCTGCAAAAGAAAGTATTCAGCTGGACCCAAGACAGATTGTGAAAAAAACAAGTGTTTGTTAAAAACCTATCATTTCTTGTATAGGAAAGTTTGCGCAACGACCCAACATGACCAAGGTCAAAATCATATCGGATCCAGCTGAATATTTTGACCTCCTCTCCAGCGACCAGATTAACGTCACCGACGCGAATTTCATCAATGACGAGCTCATCGAAGTCCATTTTGAAAACGTTGACGAATTCGTGGAAGCCGACGGAAAAACAAATATGGTCATCGCAGCATTCACCACAGCCCACGCCCGCCTCAAGCTCTAGCTATGGTGTCCTGGAGCAGTTAAATCGCCGAGTCTTGTATTTTGACACAGACTCAGTAATTTATGTTTCAAAGGAAGACGAATGGGAGCCGCCGACAGGATCCTATCTTGGTCAATTAACAGATGAGTTAGATGGAGGTTACATTACCACCTTTGTGTCTGGAGGTCCTAAAAACTATGCCTATGAGACAAGCACAGACAAAACAGTATGCAAAGTTAGAGGGATCACCTTAAACTACAGGACCCAACAACATGTCAACTTTGACGTCATGTCTGACATGGTCAGGGGTGAAGGTCCGGAGAAAGTAACTGTAAATATACCATACAAAATAAATAGAGATACTAAAGAGAAAAGTGTAATAACGAGGAGTGAGAACAAGGACTATCGTATTGTATATAATAAACGTGTGATTGTAAATAATTTTGATACATTACCTTATGGTTTTTAAATTAAATGATTTCAAACATTAAAGTTATGTGTGTAATGGTACAACTGCGGGGATTTTTTGGGATTTTTCCCTAGAGAAACATTCGTCTATATTAGGGACTAATATCGGTAATTATGTTCCCATGGGGGACGTTCGTCTGTGCCGGGGACAAAAATTAGTCCCCAAAGGGACTAAGGGACATTCGATTATATTAGGTACTAATGCATGTAATTATGCCCCCATAGGGACATTCTTATGTGCCGGGGACGCCCGGGGACAAAAATTAGTCCCCAAAGGGACTATTTCTAAAGCGACAATCGGCTATAATAGGGACTAATGTTGGTAATTATGTCCCCGTGGGGGCATTCGTCTGTGCCGGGGACTTCCGGGGACAAAAATTAGTCCCCGGAGGGACTTTCTAAAGGGACAATCGGCTATAATAGGGACTATGTTGGTAATTATGTTTCCATGAGGACATTCGTCTATACCGGGGACTTCCGGGGACAAAAATTAGTCCCCGGAGGGACTTTCTAAAGGGACAATCGGCTATAATAGGGACTATGTTGGTAATTATGTTTCCATGAGGACATTCGTCTATACCGGGGACTTCCGGGGACAAAAATTAGTCCCCGGAGGGACTTTCTAAAGGGACAATCGGCTATAATAGGGACTATGTTGGTAATTATGTTTCCATGAGGACATTCGTCTATACCGGGGACTTCCGGGGACAAAAATTAGTCCCCGGAGGGACTTTCTAAAGGGACAATCGGCTATAATAGGGACTATGTTGGTAATTATGTTTCCATGAGGACATTCGTCTATACCGGGGACTTCCGGGGACAAAAATTAGTCCCCGGAGGGACTTTCTAAAGGGACAATCGGCTATAATAGGGACTATGTTGGTAATTATGTTTCCATGAGGACATTCGTCTATACCGGGGACTTCCGGGGACAAAAATTAGTCCCCGGAGGGACTTTCTAAAGGGACAATCGGCTATAATAGGGACTATGTTGGTAATTATGTTTCCATGAGGACATTCGTCTATACCGGGGACTTCCGGGGACAAAAATTAGTCCCCGGAGGGACTTTCTAAAGGGACAATCGGCTATAATAGGGACTATGTTGGTAATTTTGTCCCCATGGGGAAATTCTTCTGTGCCGGGGACATCCGGGGACAAAAATTAGTCCCCAAAGGGACTATTTAGGCAGTGGTATGCTCGGAAACATTCATTTGATAACATGCCTCAAACGCGTAAGGTCTGTCCCATGTGCGGAAAGAAAGGTTTATTAAAGTTATCTAATCATTTAACCAATGTTCATAAACTATCTACTCAAGAGAGACAACCATACCTTATTCGTGCTAGGAAAATGCCTATTGATAAAGCAACGGTATTGTTCGAGTTGCAAAAGATAAATAGACTGATCGAAAAGTATCTGCTTTCATTTTCATCATGTACTCCATACAGTTAAGACACCCGTTTGGGCTTCTCGTTTCTGGCGGTACAAAATCAGGCAAAACCACCTTTGTGAAAAAGCTTCTCAGCTATGCCAATGTGCTGATTGATCCAACGCCTGAAAACATTATTTACTTCTATGCCGAATATCAAGACGCGTTTGGAGAAATACAAAATTTAGTGCCTGGTATAAAATTCATACAAGGCTTGCCGGATAATATAATGGACAGTATCAATCCAGAAACGCGCAATTTGTTCATTATTGACGATATGATGGGTGAGAAGGACGGAGTGATTTCTAAATTGTTCACGAAAAAATCGCACCATGGTAATCTAAGCGTAATCTACATTGTGCAAAACTTGTTTCACCAAAGCAAAGAGCATCGCACAATATCTCTCAATGCAAGTTATTTATGTTTAACGAAAAATGTTCGCGATGCAAGTCAAATTACTCATCTCGCTAAACAGCTATACCCGAGTCAAACGAAGTTTTTCCAACAAGCTTATCAATTGGCAACGAAAGAACCTTATTCTTATCTATTTGTCGACTTAACTCCTACATGTCCTGACGAGATACGAATTCGATCCGGGATCTTTCCAACCGACACGCATTATGTCTATCAACCCAGAGTATAAAAATGTGGGAACGTGTGTAAAATGTTCATTTGATCATGTCTGCTTGTATGAAGAGGAACTCCGAACTTCTGAAAGTATTGGCCAAGTGCAAACCCGAACTGAGAAAAGCTATTTTGAAAGCGGCTGAAGACGATTTATTCGAAGCGATAAGACAGTGTCTTTTAAACGTTTGGTTTGAAACGGTTAAACTGAAACCGAACACAGCTAAAAAACTTGCACCGCATTCCAAGCATATAAAGTTTGCGGCCGACAAAAGAAATCCTATCGTAAAAAGAAGAACACGTCTAGTCCAAAAAGGGGAGGGTTTCCTACCGTTTCTACTCACTTCAGTTTTGGAACA